GCCCCCCAGCCACAGAGTCCCTGGAGGTAGTTCAAAGGCATCAAAGCCCACAGCCCCGGGGGCTGTGCTAGAGGTCAGTGGATGCAGATGCAGTGCTGGGTGCAGGGCTGAGCTGACACCCACCATGCAGGGCAAGGTCCACCACATCCAGCTGCAGACCTGGCTGTGGACAAGAGCACGGGGCAGAGCCACACTCAGTCCCAGTCACATTGCCAACTTAGGTGCACAAAGACCAAGTGACTCTTCTCCAAGTTGGCCTCAGCTTTGGAAACTGCATTTCCCTGCGCTGTGCTGGTGCAGGACCAAGTAACAGGAAGGTTAGAAGAGCCTGCAGCAGCGAGGCTGCAACTGTGCAAGCAGCAAAAGGAACTGAAACTGTCTGGCTTTATAGAAGAGTCTTCTTGCCTGGAAGCAGCTCTCCCTGCCTCCCCACACTTCTACTGATCTGTCTGGTCCTTTCCACTGAACCTCTCTGCTAGCTTTAGGGGCTTCTGGAGAAGCAGTCAGACTACCTACTTCCTATAAATTCAGGCTCTGCTAGTCCCGTGCCTCAACAAGAGAGCCCTGGGTGAGCAAGGGAAGTCCTAACCCAGAAGAAGGTCACCAGCAGCGCCACTGCCTGGCATATGCTGCAACTACAGCCCCTTGTACCCTACAGAGCAGGGAGGCCAAGTGCCACAAAGTGCCTGGCACCAGCTTCCCATGAAAACACCCGCTGCGGCAGCTAAGAACCCACCCTGAGACCTCTTCAGTACAAACCAGGGCTGCCCAAGGGTCTCACAGAGGCCAAAAGGCCAAATGATGGTGGGTGATCACAGAACGGGCAAGGGGTGGGGCAGGGGGTGAGGCAGGCCAGGCTCAGGGGCAGGCAGGGCACCGTCTCTCAGAGCTGAGGGGCACCATGCAAGCAACACATGAGCTCCAGGCTGTTCAAACCAGTCCTACCCTGATGCCCTCTCCACCCCCATGGGAGAAGAGTACTGACGCCCTTCCACACACCCCCATCAGAGCAATCACCACCCTTCATCCACCCGCGGTGCATAACTCATGGCTGATGTCCTGAAGTCAGAAGTTCCTTCTTGATCTTCTACTCAGCCCTCACCATGACTTTGTCGTTTGGCCACATGCCAAGCCTGGTAGCAGCAAAACCCTCAGGCAAGCACTTACAAGGTGAAACCCCCTTCAGTGACTGGGGGCACTTCAAAAGCTTCCTGTATCGAGAGCCCAACAGCCTCAACAAAACTGCAACTCACTTGCCACAAACAGGCAGCAAATAAACCAGGTCTTTTCCAGATTCAAATTTGGCCCATGCACCTGGGGCAGCTGGTGTGCCCTGGGCTCAGACCTCAGCCTTACCTATTTGGTGTGGGGAATAGGTGAGGCATCCTGTGGTGAAGATTAAGTACTTTGTCTTGCTGTTGCTGTCTGTGGAGAGCAGGTTCAGCTCAGGGGGTTTAGTTCTGTTGCGTACAAACAGCTCAGCCACCTTTGTCTCGAGCTCTGTGTCGGTCATGGCAGGCCTCACCCGGCCCTCGATTATATCATCAAAGAGCTGCTGCAGCCCATCCTCTGCTGGCACACCCCCGTCATCCAGCAATTCCTGTACTGCTGGCTCTGGAGGCTGCTTGGGCTTGGCCTCCTCTTCCTCGCTGTCACTGCCAAGATCAAAGACGCGGCAGGTGGAGGTGGAGGAGGCAGCGAGCTGCTCCTCGTAGTCCAGGAGCAGGTCTGGCGAATCGTAGCGGCTGCAGTCGGCCACCATCACCGTCCGGATAGTGCTGGCGTTCAGGTTCTGGATTTTGAACAGTCTCTTCACTACATTCACATTCTCGGATTCTATGCCCTGCAATCAGAAGGGAGAGGTAAGTAGGAACCATCCCAGGTCCCTCCTACAGTTCAAACCAAGAGCCACCTGTTGAGCCCTTGAGTTGGCACAGCAACACCAGCCACACACCGACCTCTCTTTGTGCTGCTATACGGAGCAGGGACCATGAGAACTGGCCCCCAAGGCTGGACAGCTCTGTGGCACTTCTTCCTATCCTGGAGGTGGGCACACTGAGACACAAAACTCCTACAGGCTGGAGCTGGGAAACACAGAGGCTGAGCAGCCCCGCTGCCACCCACAGTCTGAGGCCACCAGTGGGTGCTGCTTGGGGTGTTAGAATTCCAGGACAGGCCTCTAAGTTACACACAAGTGCAGCACAAAGTGTCATCCTCTGACCTTACAAGCAGCAGAGGCAGGGGACCTCCATACTCTGCAGTTCACCTGTGCCAAACCACCCTGGATATCTGCTCCCAGATACAAGCAGCAGGTCTCTTCCTGCCCAACTGCCCTGGCAGTCTGCAGCCGTGCTTCAACAGCCCTGGACAACATGGGCAAGGTGCTTCCTCACCTCATGGGGATGGAAGAGTCAGTGCTGTAGTGTCAGAGCAAAGCTGAGATGCGGTTATGGGAAGGATCTCTGCTACCAGAGGACTTCACCTGGGGCCAGCATCAACTGTTCATGTTAAAAACCACAAACAGTGGGACATGCAGCTGTGACACTGAGACAGGGACAAAACATGGAAGAAGAATGCGTCCGAGCAGGAAAAATGCCAGAGAATGGACAAGCAGCAAATAAGCAGCTTAAGGGCAGCTCACACTGATCTCCAGGTCTCATCACAGCACCAGAGCCAGCACCTGGCCCACAGAACCACCAGCAAGGACAGGCAGGGCTGAGCTCAGTCTCTCAGCTGCCTCTGGCTCCCAGGAACAACACACTGAGCTGCCAAGTAGGAGAGCAGCCACTGCTTGGGTACATGCCAGGCCCCAGCTGTCCCAGGCCCAGCTTCATATTAGCAAGGACCTCAGCAACCCTGCTGCCATCCAGCCACTCTCCTGTTGAGCAACAACATGCTCTAGGGCACTGTAGTCAAGTCCTCATCCCAATTGATGGGGCAAGAGTTAATGGAATGTGAAAGTAGAGTCAGAATATTGTAACAGGTACCACAACACCAAGTGTGGAGAAGCCTCGCACACAGGTTGCCTCAAGCTTGGGATCCTGAGGACAAGTCAGAGAAGACAAACAGGGAGGACAGGAAGATTGGGCTATTCCTCCCCACTCACACGTCCTCTGTAGCTTTTCCTCCCCCAGGAGCCAGCAGGAAGCTGTGCTGCCTGTGGAGCTGGAACAAAGGCACCTCACCTGGAAAGCATTGTTCAGCCACAGCACAGAGCAGGAGGTTATACGCCCAATCCGATGCAGATTGCCAGATATCAAGTTGGTTTCATTCAACCAGCAGCCAAACACATCGTAGGGTTTATTCCTCACCCTGGAAAGCAGCGTGAAGTTCTCTGGAAGGCAGGGGAAACACGAGTGTGAGGCGATGGCTCCTGGCCCGAGAGACCGCGGCAGAAGACACGAGAGATGGAGTCAAGTCTCCGCAGGAGAGGCTCTGATGCAGCACCTCCACTACCAGCTGAGCAGCAACCACCATCCAGCTTCCAGTCACTCCTATGAAGACAGACATTTCTCTCTCCCACAGCAATGTGTGAGGACAGCAAGCACAAGGGAAACCAAAATAAAAGGGCAGCCAGAGCAAAAAGCAACCTAATCTCAGAGCCCTCCTCCAAGCATGGCTCAAAGCAGACACCCCAAGGACAAGAACAAGCCAAACACATACAGGATATCTTCACTCCCACCCCTGGGGCTCAGGGCCTTTCTGAGCAGGACATATATGCATTTAGGAGCACCCCTCTATTTCTGGCACAGTGAGGCTGCAGCACTGAGATGGTGAGAGACAACAGAGCTATGATTTGGCACCTTCACAGAACTGCAGCAGAAGAGGTGAAGGAGACCCAGATGAATGTGTCTCAGAAAGCCACGTGAGAGGCCAGGCTGGGACTAGCACCACTTGAGTCAGAAATGGTGGTTCAAAGACAAGAGGTAACGTGGGTAACTCTTGCCTTGTCCAGACTGTCACTTAGAACTGAACTGAGAATACACATATGGCACACTGCTCCTAGGTGATGACGTGGTCACCTGAGCAGAGCTGAGGCTATCCAGAAGGTTTATCGTATGAAAATGTGATTGGGAACCCTTTGCACAGATGGTAGAAGACAGGACAAGCAGAGGTCAAGGCCACTGCACACCCCAAGAGGAAGGGAACCCCAACACCCACCACTTCACCCCTCCCAGGAACCCCAGTGAAGAGGGTGACATTTACCCATGCTGATTACAGCAATCTCTCCTGAGGAGGAGTTGTGGGGTCCCACAAAGACACCAGACACCAGGAGGAGTGAGTCATCGGAGTTGAACTGGGAGAACTGTGTGTAGCTCCAGTTGTATGGCCTCATGTTGGAGCTGTGCTGCAGGGAGATGTCCAGCTCATTGCTCCAGATCTATAGGCAGATGGACAAACAGTCAGGAAGCTGCTGAGAAGCCTGAGTGTGGTTCCACTTTATCTGTTCTGCCAGCACTCACCAGGCCAAGGGAAAAAAATTGATGCCAAACACCCCATTTAACGGCCTCCTGGTCCCATCTTCCCTGTCAATTCTCCTGACAGAAAGTGGCCAGTAGCTCTGGAAAGCAGCTCAACACAGGACTGCTCCCCCAGCCAGTGCAGTGAATGGTACTGTCACAGCTGGATTTTTCAGCATGTTCAGAGAGATTTCTCCCAAGACAACCCCTCAAGCAAGACATCTTCTGGAGTGGATCATTATCTCCACACTCTGTTAGACCCACAACACAACAGGGACCTGATTTTCACCTAGGAAGCAGCTAGAGCCAGGCAGGCACCTTCACATGGGCCAGAGCTGGAATCCACAGCCCTCAAGGCTACATTTGCAAGAGCCATTAGTTCTGTGGTTTGGAGAACAACTCAGCATTGCAGGAACCGGCCTAAGTCCAGGGACACCCAGTCAAACCTCTCCTCTCCACAGACTTCCTAGAAGCTCCTCATGTGGCTGAGCCCCACTAAATCAGAGCTGGAAGGGTTATGCAGGGGAGGCTGATACTTTACCTTGACAGTACAGTCTTTGGAGCATGATGCAAACAAACAGCCAGAATGGGAAAAGCTGAGGTGCAAAACCTGGTCATTGTGCTCCTTCAGGGCCTGCACTTCCACGCAAGGGATGGTATCGTAGAGCCTTTGGAACTCATCATACCAGGAGACAGCAGCTGTAACACATGAGCAGGAACATGGAACAGGAATGAAAGTGGAGGGAAGCAACACAGTACTCACAGTCCTGACTCTGAGACTTGCAGCCCAGAACCCCCCCCGTGTGCTGGGCTGCACCCCCAGAGCATGAACAGCAGGTCAGGGAGGGGATTCTGCCCCTCTGCTGTGCTCTTGGGAGACCCCCCCTGCAGTCCTGATCCACCTCTCGGGCAACAGCACAAGAGGGACGTGGAGTTGCTGGAGCGAGTCCAGAGGAGGCCATGGAGATGCTGCAAGGGCTGGAGCAGCTCTGCTCTGGAGCCAGGCTGAGAGAGATGGGCTGGGTAAGCCTGGAGAAGGCTTCAGGGAGACCTTCCAACCCTTCCAGGACAAGGGGAATGGCTTTAACCTGCCAGAGGGCAGACTGAGATGAGCTCTTAGGCAGAAGCTCTTCCCTGGGAGGGTGCTGAGGTGCTGGCACAGGGTGCCCAGAGAAGCTGTGGCTGCCCCATCCCTGGCCGGGTTCAAGGCCAGGTTGGACACAGGGGCTTGGAGCAACCTGGTCTAGTGGAAGGTGTCCCTGCCTGCTCTGCTGCAGCCATCCTCCCCACAGCTCCAGTCGAGTTCACAAAGGGCTCAACAGCTTCCCCTGTAGCTTTCCTACTCCCACACAAAAGAAAAACACAGTTTCTTGCAGTGAACGCACACCCCTGCACCCTATCACTGCTCTCTAAACCTCCACAGTCAGTGCAAGAAACACCCAGGGCAGAGCTATGGAACAAAATCCTTGCTCAGACACAACAGCATCAGAAGTACAGACGTGCTCCAGCACAATGTAAACAAATCCATTATGTGATGAGAGGGAAGCTGCTCCTCAGGGTACTGGGCTCCGCTCTGCTTATCTTTATCTTGTCTAACACAGAGTTGAGAAGGTTCCAGAAAGGGTATGGGACAAGGAAAGAACATCTCCATGAGATAAGAGACTAGAGAAAACAAGAGAGAAGAGCAGGAGCTGGACAGAGGCTGCCAGGACAGAGCAGGAGCCCTGCAGCAAAGCCTGGAGCATGCTCACAGAAGTCACACTGGCAGCCAATAAAGAGACAAATAATGAGGACTTTTAACCAAGTGCCCTGTAAGGCAGCCTAGAGACTTCTTGCAGCAGCAAATCCCAAGGAAGCAAAGAGGATTATTCATGTACATGGATATGGGCCAACTTTCCTGGTTACACTGAACAAGACTGAGGGTTTTTGGAACTCACTTCAGCCCAGGAGGCACCTGCTGCTGCAGGCAGGGGGCTGCTCACTGCCAGGACACCCAGCACTGCTCACTAACCTCTGACGCTCTTGGTCCCAGCCCATCCAGCTGGGAAGCAGCCTGCACAGATCCCATCTGGCCAAGCAACCCCAACATTCCCTCTTACAATGACCCACTGGATACCATTACCACACGGCTGCCCAGGGCAGGCAGATTGGCAGGGCTTTTCCCCAAGCTCCTGCTTCAGCCCATTGCTGGGCCTGCCAGCCACCCCCTGCCCCATGGGGTGCTCTCACAGCTCCAGAAGCACAGCCTGGGAGATGCCTGAATACATTCCTGAGATCCACCAGCTGCTCAGTCCCAGTGAGTGCTGGAGAACAATGCTGGCATCTTACTCACTCCAGGAGGTTGGAATTGAATGAGCCTGGCCAGAGAGCCTCAGATAAAACCTAAAAATGTCCTCAACTCCACAGAGCTCCCACGGTCTGCACAAGTGAAGTCACGCAGCCACATCTTATCCCTTCTCAGAGCTCTTCTGTCCTGGTGTTTCCTGCTGCAGGGAGACTGGCTCAGGCTGCTTGATCCTTGGTGTTTCTTCCCATCCTCCCGTAGCAACTGCAACTCAAGATCAAGAACCCAACTCCTTCTGCCTTGGCCACTACTGTGGGCCCCAAGAGCATCCCCAGGGCTGAGGATGGAACACATCCCTCCTGGACCTCTGCAGCACCCTGGGAATGTGCTTTTTGGACTCCAGGAGAGATTTGCTGTGGCAGCACGGGCTCCTGTTGGCAGGTCCCCAAGGCCTGTCCCTGCTGGTGTGACAGTGCTGGGTTACCCTTCCAGACGGCACAAACTGCTCCCAGCTCCTGATGCTCGGCTGGGAACAGACCCGTGACTGTGGTCACCACCAACCGCCAACAGCTCTATTCAGGGAAGGCCCTGCCAGGCTCAGATGATGCTGACTGTTAATGGGTCATTTTCCTACTGGGAGCCAAGGCTAAGATCAAGATCAAGTCCAACTTGCCCTTGCAAAGTGAGTCAGCTGCTGCCTTAGCACTTGCTGTACAATTAAAGGGCTGTGCACCCACCTCCCTCCTCACGGAGCAAGCACAGCTCTGCCTCCAGAGCCACGCTGCAGCCTGCACCTTATGGTAATAGTATGATCTGCTAATGTGCACTTGCGGCTCTTCCTGGTCTGGATGAGAGGGGCAGAGCCTGGAGCAGGGGCTTGCTGCAAGGTTCTGATCAGGAAAAGCCAGCAGCGATTATCACGAAGTCCAGCTGGGCGGGGCTGGAGCTGCATGCCATGACTCACTGTGTCTCCTGCCATCTCCCTCAGCAGCACCCAGCCAAGCTGTGCACCAGCTACCACAGAGCTCCTGGCTTGAGGGTGCTCACAAACCACCTTTCTGGGAAAGAAAAGGAAAGCTGAAGCATTCTCAACCATCTGACAGCCCTTTCTGAAGGGTTCGGGCACTCAGCTGGGCGGGGCTGGAGCTGCATGCCATGACTCACTGTGTCTCCTGCCATCTCCCTCAGCAGCACCCAGCCAAGCTGTGCACCAGCTACCACAGAGCTCCTGGCTTGAGGGTGCTCACAAACCACCTTTCTGGGAAAGAAAAGGAAAGCTGAAGCATTCTCAACCATCTGACAGCCCTTTCTGAAGGGTTCGGGCACTCACAGA